TATTCAAGCTTCTTTTGCCACTATCTTTCTTCTTTTTTTCTTTTTTTTTTTTTTAAGAGGTTTTTGTCATAGGGCACATGTGTTTGCCAGAGCGAGACAGAGGGAGGGAAAGTAAGAAATCACACCCGGAGGGGGAAAGTCATGCCATAATCCCTTCTCCTCTGTTCCCTCAGGTTTTTAAACATGCCAGCCCATGTGCCTGGTGTGATTTTTAGGCCACTGGGTCCAGGACTTGAACCGTGGCTGGCCATGTGGAGTCTAGCTCCTTAACTACTACGCTACCTGCTGGCCCCAACCACTGCTATCTTCTTAATTGCTAGCTCAGTAGGAAATGATAATGAACATCATTTCACATACTACAATTTATAGACATGTAAATTTTGCTTTTAAAATATTTAATAAAAGATTGCCTCCTAAAATGCCTACGTATGAATTTTGCATCAGAATTACAAGGGAAAACATTTTTGGTCTGCACTACTAGAGAATGACTTCAATTATTATTTTTCCTTTGTGCGTGTGAAGCCTTACAATGGAAAGTTTTGCACGTAATAAATTCCACTTAACCATGGGTTAGCCTGAAATATTAGTAAAACAATTGGGGCGATTCACTGGCTAATAAGAAATAGATTGTATTAGTTACTCATTTTGTCATTTCTTTGCTGAGACAAGCATTTTGAAATAAACGAAATGTAATATTTTACTGTTTAAAGTACAGAGAATAATGTGAGGAGACATAACAGAATTTCAAGTTAGGTATTACATTTTAGAGAAAAGATTGTGGATAAAGAATTCGTAAGGAAGTAAAATCATTCTGCTTTTGGTTGCCATATATTATTGTAGGTAGCTCAATTTAAATTATATTTGCTAATGTTAAATCATTTTTCACTTTTAAAAAGCCCTAAATGGTAAAATAATGAAAGAAAGAAAAGGAAAAGACAGAAATGAATATATTCTTTCAATAATGTGTCATTTGACTTTCAGAGTTATGTTAGTAAGTTATAGACGTGTCCATTTCCTTGTTTAAAAAATACAAATGTGGGGCCGGCAAGTGGCATGGTGGTTAAGGGTGCTGGACTCCCACATGGCCGACCATGGTTCAAATCTCGGACCTGGTGGCTTGCTTTCTCACTTCCTCTCTCTCTCTCTCTGTATCTCTCTGATCAAAACTGAAAAATAATAATGATAATAAATAAAGTTAAATGAAATAATTCTTTAAAAAATACAAATGTAATCATGTGACTACTCTGTTTAAAACCCTTAGATAATTTTCCACTTATCATGAGATAAAGATCAAAATCGTTCATGTTCCTTCAAAACCAAGCAACATCTGCTGCTGCAGGGCCACACACTGTGTGTGCCCATCTGAATTCGATTTCATTCTTGAATTCGTTGAAATGAAGAACACAGTGACCTTATCTAGAATATAACATTATTCTTAATTTTTAAAGCACTTTTTGTGTAGAGAACATCCTCTAATTTAGAGGGTTTAGGATGGTCATTTCAACTCTCCCCAATTGAAAGTAATTGGAAAGTGGTTGGTTTGGTTGGCTGTTTTTAGCATCTTTACCAGTAATGCAGAAAGTGATAACACACTTGGAAGCTTTAAGTATGTGCAAAAGTAAATAGAGGGCCCCAGAAATATCTACACGTATTAGGTGGCAACTAAAATTAGTTTAGAAAATGAGAACAAAAGTGAAGCAAGCGGAATTCCTGTCCGAGTGCAGAGAAGTTAAGCATGTGGGCTCCTTACCGTGGTTTTTTCTAGGCAGTGAAGCAGGTGGTGGTGCTGAGTTTCAAAGCTGGAGCCCGATTTGCTAACAAAGGCCTGCTCATCCTCTGAGGACTGTTAACAAAGAGAAGACAGAGGAGCTTTCTATTTATTTGCAAACAACGAGAACCTTGGCTACACATTTCCACAGAGGGATCTGGCCTATTTTCTAAGATTAAATGGCAGCATTTTACTTTTCCAACTACAAAGGGACAAACGTGCACTTGCTTTTTAAGTTGGCTGATCGGCATTTGCATTTTCATCAACTTATCCATCTTATCTTTCAGACATGCATCCCTGAATTGGAAATTTAAATCTCTTTTACTCATTCGAGGACCTCTGTAAGCCTGGGAACCATTATCTTTGGATAATAAAATTTGACCTCAGACTTAGAAAAATCCTGAAATCATCATCATGCTTACTTACATAAAAGTTATTTTGTAAGTAAAGATGATTGGAATCCTAAATACTAAAGGAGAAGGCAAAGGTAAAGCTTCGCAAATTATGTCTCATACTGAATGACCTTAACACTGGTGTTCCTTCTCCTTGAAACAAGTAAAACAAGGTATCATAGCACAGCGCCCACCCACCCATACCCCCAACCCAAATGATTTTCAAGAAACATAAGAAATTTTGAAACAAAACAGAATAAGGCATTTGAACTATTGAACATTTTTTTTACCTTTCTCATGTTAATATGAGACAGTGCAGAAATATTGCCTCATCATAAATGAAAACTATGATTTATTGGTTACTTTTCTAGCACAGTGTCTTATCTGCTATAGCCAATTGGAATGTATGGGGTGAAGTTATTAAAAGATGACACTTCTGTTGTTTTGGTAGCTATTTTCATAATTACTCATAATAAAATTATATGGTTAAGTAGAACTAAATCAATGTTACACCAATAAATTGAACATTAAAAAAGCAAAGGGCTTCATTTACCTGCAGCTGATTACTGAGTAAGCCATTCCGTTTGCTCTGCATGTAGGCGTTTGCGCTTCCGCTCTTGGCTGCCCGGATCCTGGCGAGCCTCGCTTTCTGCAGGACAAGAAAAATGAATGTCCCGTTAATACTTATGAATTGCTTTCTTAAAACAGTGAATGCACTCTTGTATAATCCTAACATCAACCTACATAGTTTTGAAAGTAAGCCAGCTTTTCACATGTAACTGTTGAATATACCCCTCTAGCCCTGAGTACTTTGTTTTCATGAATGTCATTAGTAAGATCAATTAATTACCCTGGAGATGGGTTCTGCTTTAAGAATTGTATTAAGTTTGTAAAGTAAAATGAAGCTATTTTATTATTGCTTCTCTCAATTGTGTCAAAAGAAAAGTGGCGGTATTACTTTCCTTAAAGTTCAAGTCATCCCAGTCTAGTAACTTAATGAAACAAAGATCAGTTGTCCAGCAAACCAGCTAACTCCTTTTCACTTAAATGAATTTCCTTTTTAAAATTAGTAAATAAGTTTCAGGAACCAATTGCATTATTTTCCTTTCCTTTCCTTCCTTTTTCTTTTGTCTTCTTTTTTTTACCACTTCTGCTCCCTTCTCTTTTCTTCTCCCCTTCCTTCTCCTCAATCCCTTTCCTTTGCTTTGTTTCTTCTGAAGAACTACCATTCAGTTATACCTGCACCTTCCAGTACACATTTCATGTTTTTAATTATCCTGTTAAACTACCCAATGTAAATCCTATGATAAACAAAATGGGCTCTCTAAAACAAATTCCTTAACTTATCTACTTTGCTTACTGGTATAGGCTCACATACAACTGTATGCCCGTCTGAATTCTACTTCACTCTTGTATTTGGTGAAATGAAGCATATAGTGGGTTTATCCCCCAAAAATTATAATATTATTACTAATTTTTAAAGCCCCCCCCTTTTTTTTCTTTTAAACAAAGGGCATCCCTCAGTTTAGGGAGTTTAGGGTCACTTCAGTTTCTCGCCTTTACACTGAGATCACCCAAGAGGTATAACTGAGCATCCTGGCTATTTAGCTAGATTTCTGGTATTACATTCTACTTTGTATCTGCTGTTGTATGTCTGTCTTTAGATAGCCATAGAATGAGTCTGGTTTTCACTTCCTGGAGTGCACTATTTTGATGACTGTTCTATTTGTATGATGTGTATCTAGCAAGTGCATGTATAAAAAGCAACTGGAGGGGAGTGGGGGTGGATGGTGGTGAGCAGTAAAATGGGACACTCTGCAAGGCTGACCCACATGGTACTTTGCAAAGCTGACCTACATAGAAAAGTTCTGGGTTCATTTCTGAAGAACTCCCTGAGTATGCCAAGCCCGTGATCCAGTGCTGATGGAGGCTGGGGTTGGATTAGAGGTCAAAATCCTGTTGGGGATGTCTGTCCCTCTCTCCGTTACCAGTTCTCTCTAACTCTCCTGCTCATGTAAGGAATAAATGGGAGCCAGCAGGTGATAAAGTAGTTAAGTCACTGAACTCCCAGATGGTCAACTATGGTTTGAGTACCGGATTCGGTGACTTGAAACCATATGTAATAAAATTGTCTATCATAGTCACTAGTTACACCCATGTAATTATCTAAGCATTTATCAGCAGCTTTGGAAATGCTACCTTCTTTCATTAATGAGTTGTGTACATTAACCAAAGCTATAGGCAAGTAAAGAAAAATGATGCATTTTCTCGGGACCAGCAGTTGGCGTAATGGCTATGTCGCTGAACTCCCATGTAGCTGACTGCAGAGCGAGTCCCGGACCCAATGGCTTGAACTTATGCCGGGCGCGTATGCATGTGTGCCCAAGATCCCGAGAGGAGAATGGAGGAGAAGGGATTGCAGCATGGCCATCCCCCTTGGGTGATGATCTCTCTCTTTCTATCTCTCTGTCTCTCTCTGTCTTCCTGGTGCGCACACGTGCCCTATAACAAAAACCTCTCAAAAAAAAAAAAAAAAAAAGAAAAGAAAAATGACGCATTTTTTCATCATATAATGGAAAGTCTATATATAGTGGCAATCACTACTGCAGAAGTAGTTCAAAGCTTTGGGAAAAAGAATCATTTGTTTTAGAAACAGAAAAGCCACTTTTGTTTAGCCATGTACTGTGTTAGAAAATGAACCTGTTATTTCAATTTCAATCATGACTGTTCTTTTACTTCCCTACAACACGACATGAGTTAATTGATTTAATTGATCTTGTGGAGTACCACACCAAATGTCCTTTGAACACCAGCCTTTAGGACCTGTGATTACATTTTTGGTTCCAGCAGGTAATTGAGGGAAATTATTTTACAAAGATATTTTAGAAAATCACTTTATTTCTCACTCTCTTAGTATGACAATTTTGGCAACTCTGACTGTGCAACTGGGAGGTTAAAAGAAAAGCATCTGCTGATAAAAAGGCAATGCATTTCTTCTAGTCTCCATCCCTGAGGAAAACAACTACTTGACAGGGTAGAGTACTAGCAAACAATATGGAAAGTAGAGGAAGATCTTAGTAAATTACCTTAGCCTATAAGAAAAAGTTGGAGGGTTCCACAATTTGAATTAAAAATAAGATTTATATTGTCAGGTGTTTCCCTACTCATGATAGAGTACATGCACGTATGAGAAAGAGAGATAGAGAAGGGCTGGTCACGTTGTCATCCCCTTTCTACAGCCCTCAGCCCTCCAGGGTCCTGGGCACCTGTGCATGCACGTGGTGTGCTTTCAGGCCAACCAGGCTGAGGGCTGGAACTGCGGTGGACATATGACTTCCAGCCCTGTAGTCTGGTACATCGGACTGTGCTTATATTTTAATTTATTTTTTTACAATAGGGTTCATGCACTTACTGAATAAAGAGAGGGAGAGAGAGGGAAAGTAAGAAAGCAACCCACAGGGAGATGACAATGCCACAGTCTTTCCTCCTCCACTCTCCTCTCAGGATTTTGGGCAGGCACTCACATGCACCCTGTGTATTTTTCAAGCGACTGAGACTCAAGCTACTCAAATTGTGTCATAAGGGATCCAGCTGTTTTAACCACCATGCCACCTGGCTAGACTTCTTCTCAGTTTTCACATAAAAACTTCACTGTTATTGTCAAGTTATTTATCTACTTTAAGGAATAACAATGGTGTTGGAAAAATTTGTTTATCTCATAAGCATATTTTTGTACTCATCCCAATTTTTCCTAAGTTCATTTTTTGCCTAATCCTGTAATCTCAGCATGGTGTCTCAAAACTGATTCCAAAGAATTAGTAAATATAATGGGTAAAATCCAAACTAACCAGATGAAGCAAACAGTTGGCTCTGTGGTCAAGAAAATGTGGAAAAATGCTAAAATGTTAAACAGGTTTCTTTGTTGTTGGGTTTTCACAACATATACTGTGGATATTCATTGTGAGGATAAGAGGGGATTAATATGCAGTTTTTCAGGGACCAGCAGGTGGTGTGGTGGTTAAGTCACTGGACACTTCCACTTGGCAGACTGTGGTTCGAGTCCTGGACCTGGTGACTTGCTTTCTCACTTTCTCCTCTCTCTCTCTTTGGTAAAAATAAATGAATGAATAAACAAAATTAAAAATAATTATAACAAAAAAATATGCAGTTTTTCCTTAAATTAATTTAACATGGGACTCTTTTATTGCGGAGCATGCAGAAGCTACTGTGCAGTGCAACGCAATTATTTTTTAACAAGTAGATTCTTTTTTAATTAAACCAAGCAACACATGGATATTTCTGGAACAGAAGCTATAAGCCAATCAGAGAGAGACTTACAAGTCAAACAGTATTAAGATAGTTATTTTCTCAAATCTCCTGAATGAGGTATGGGGTACACGGAGGGAAGATATTACACCATCTTGTTACTTCATCACAAAATGTGTTCAATACTTTTGAAAAATATAAATATACTAGGCAGTCTTTAAATTGTGGTAGAGGAGCCCTCTCTTTGATAATCAGGCAATTTTAGAGTTCTCAAATATGGGCCTACATTCTCCCCATACAATGTATTCTGGGGCTTTTACTTACAGGCATTTCTTTCATTTAAGGTTTAGTAAAATGTCCCATGTGGAAATAGTATATTAAGCTTGATCAGATTTTAAAACTGGAAGAACTTTATTGGAACTATTTCCCTTTGCTAAGAGAAATAGCTGCCCTGGAAATGCCCCAGTCAAGTTAGTGCCAAGAAATAAGAAGAAGACAGAGAGGGGAAGGAAGTCAATGTATTTCCTGCTGTGGAGCTTGGTTAGTCCTGGAGAAGGCTGGACAGGAAGAATGCTGGGATTTGGATCTGGGGAAGAGACTGTGCCTTGAGAAGGCAGTAAGAGGGAAGAGACTGTAGGAGGGTGTAGGAGACAAAACTATGCTTTCCAATATTGTTTCAACTGGTCCTAGGAATACCCATCATACTAGTCATATAGGATGCTGCCTAAGTGAACAAGACCTTGTTGTTCATGTACTTATTTTTTTACTCATTACACAAATATTAAGGCCTATTTTAGGGGGCATTACACTCAGTGCAGTGGAGGGAGAGAGAGAATATAGCGTAATACATGGTAACAGATTGTACATAATATTGTAGGAGAAGAGGAGGAACAACTAATGGTGCTCACAATGTCCAAAACCAAAATCTTCACAGTGAGGTTGATTTTTGACCCAAGCTTGAACCCTGGGTAGGAGTTCACTCCTTGGCCACATGAAGTAGTGTGGGGATGGAGTAGAGACTTAAGATAAAGGTAAGAAACCCATTTAGGCTAAAATGAAACATAGATTAAATACGGAGAAGTATGTGATCTCCAGATTCCTGTATGTTTTAACAATAGGGGCTATTAACTACAGACAAAGGAAAAACATAGGCTATCCACATACATTTGGAGTAAAACCAGGAAGTTTTATTTTTTAGGTTTTTGCCATAGGGCATGTGTGCTCAACAGAGACAGGGAGAGGCAGCGAGAGGGAAGGTGAGAGATCACTCCCCAGGGGGAATGGCCACATGACAATCCTTTCTCCTCCATTCTTCTCCTGGGATATTGGGTATGCATGCACATGCACCTGGAGTGATTTTTAAGCCATCACATATGGGACTTAGACTTGGTTGACCATGGGTATGTCCAGCACTTTAACCACCTCACCACCTGCTGGCTGCTCTGGGTGATTTTATTTTTAATAGTGAATAATCTAAGAAAGATCATTCTCAGGGTCTAAGAAAGAGTTACATCTTGCCTTTTCATTATACTAGAATTATGTTAAAAAATTCTTTGATTAGGATATTGCAGAGTGGATTAAGCAATGGTTCTCAAGGTCTGGTTCCTAGACCTAAGCATGCACTAAAAGTGAAAAATTTCAAGTTCTAAACCCAAACTACAAAACCAGATGCTTTGGAGAGTGGGAACCAGCAATCTGTGTTTAAACAAGCTCTTCATGTGATTCCAGTGAATCTAAAGTTTGGGAGCCAACATCATAAAGGGTGACAGACCAAATATTTTACTATTTTTCTCATTTAATGTCAAAATCTTTATGTGAGGGAACCAGCAGTTAGCATAATGGCTGTGTCGCTGGACTCCCATGTAGGAGACCGCGGTTTGCGTCCCGGATCCAGTGGCTTAGAACTCACGCTGGGCGCGTGTGCGTGCGTGCCCAAGATCCTGAGAGGAGAATGGAGGAGAAGGGATTGTGGCATGACCATCCCCCCTGGGGGGTGATTTCTTGCTTTCTGTCTCTATGTCTCTGTCTGTCTGTCTGGCGAGTGCACGCGCCCTATAGCAAAAACCTTTCCAAAAAAAAAAAAAATCTTCATGTGAAAAGTAAAATATTTACTTACACTGTAATTGACTTACTGATTCTAAACTCACTGTATGTACAATTATCTACAGAAAAATCTCAAAAGATTCATAGGTCTAATAGTGCTGGAATTTTATATCTTGACTTTTTAGCCAATAGGTGTGTGAGCATATATAAATCATCTGTATCACTAAAATAATAAACCCTTCTTTGCAAGTTGATTGTGAATATTATGAACACCAGAAATAAAACATACAGAACACACAAAACCTCTAGATAATGTGGTCAGTATTATTGAATTATAATTATACTTATTATTGATTATTACTCGCAGGTTAGTCATCTGGGTACACAGATGATTATGCGGTGTAATTCATATTTTAAAACAGGGCAGAATGCTTGTTCTAAAATGTCAGCCCTATCACTTGTCATTGCACCAATTCAGCTTTATTTTGGAAAATACACTCTACTCAATAAATACTTATTGAATGACTAAGTGAACAAATAAATCTACTGAAATGCAATGACCAAGAATGTGTTTAGAGAAGGGCTGGCACAGTTTAAATCTACGTTCACCCACAGGTTAGTGTTTAGTTGAGACTTTTATTTTTTAGAGAGATTTTTGCTATTGGGCGTGTGTGCTTGCTGTAGAGACATAGAGAGGCAAAGAGACAGAAAGCAAGGAGTCACCCCCAGGGTGGTTGGCCATAGTTCAATCCCTTCTCCGCCATTCTTCTCTTGGGATTTTATACACACACATACATGAACTCGATTTGAGTTTTAAGCCACCAGTACTGGGACTCGAACAGTGGTCAACTATGTGGGAGTTCAGAGATGTAACCATTACATCATCTGCCGGTTCTGCTAAGACTTTTCATCAAGGATTCAAAGAAATGGACTGAATGATACATTCCCTTTAGTGGAGAGAGTGGGCAGCAAATGTAGGTATAGTATTTGGGAGAGGAGTCTAGAAGAAGCTGATAGCAATGATGATTTTCTCAAATGCATACTGTATATATTCTATGCATTTGTTTGAGCTTGGAGCCAGTAGCTGGACTAAATACCAAAAAGTCTATTTTCAAGAACCATTTTGTAATATTACTTTAATTATTCAGCTTGAATGATGTTTTTATTGGATAGACTGCTTGCCTGACTGAATTAGCTAGTTGTTTTTGCAGAACTGATATTTGTCAAATCAACCAGTCCAGGATAAATATAAACTATATTAGGCTAATGATGGTTTATTCTTTTTTTTCTTTTCTTTTTAAAATTGCCCTGGGAGTAAAATAGAAAATATCCCTTGATAGGTTATTTGGTCCATGTTCTTTCTTAGATGACTGTGTTCAGTTTATTAGTCACAGACTATTTACTGGATATATTTATTAAGTTATCATATTTGACTTTATTAGGCCAGTTTTTCTTGTATTCATGACATATCAAATTCATGGCATTTTTGTAGATATTATATCATATATTTTAAAGGTACCAAAAAACATTCGTAAAACATATTTTTTCAATATTCAATGATATTTTTATAAAATCAATTTTATTTATGCTTTATAAATCTATTTAGGCTTAAAGTTTCTAAAATGTTCTTTTGACTTGCCTTTTGCACATAATGAACTGAAAAAAAAATACAAATAGTTTAGAGATCGTTTTATAAAGCTCAAATTTGTACTTCATGCAATTTTCATATAGTAGATTTTATCTTTTATTATTATTTTAAAATTTTGCTTTAGGGCACGAGCACTCACCAGAGAAAGAGAGAGAGAGCACTCACCAGAGAGAGACAGAGGGAGAGAGAGAGAAAGTGAGAACGCAAGCTGCCAGGCTTAGGGTTTGAGTCATGGTCGGCCATGTGGGAGTCCAGTGCCTTAACCACTGTGCAGGTCCCAGTAGTTCTTATCTTAAGGAAGGAATTTCTAGGATGAAGTAGATGGTTGGTAGGGAGCTAAGCTTTCTGTAAAATGTTTGTTATTTTAGACAATGTGTGTGTGTGCCTAGTGGAAGGATTCTAGTGTGTGGAGAGCCCCAGTTGCAATACATGAAGGTTCCTTGTGAGAGGGGCCAGTAGTGGCTGAAATGCTTCCAGGAGTGCTTTCCAAGGATATATGTACTCTGCACATGATTATTCCCGTTTTTTACCCTTCTCTGTTCACGGGGTTATCAGTTTTCTATTTCCATGTTAACTGAACTATTTATTACTCTTCTCCGTAATAATTAGTTAAGAGCTAGGTATTTGTCTCAAAATGTGGTGTTCTGTTAAACAAATGTCTATGAGGCTGAAAGGGTGAGTCTTTGCTGAAGAAAGATGATCTCTGACAATGGACAGGAATGAATTCCCTGAACAATATGCTTTGTGACCACACTATTTAACTTGAACTTTCCAGAGTTACCTTATGCGATTTTACACTTTACCAAAAAGACTAACATTGGGGACCAGCAGATGGCATAATGGCTATGTTGCGGGACTCCCACGTAGTCGACTGTGTCCTAGACTTGGTGGCTTAAAACTCACTATGGGCACGTGTGCAAGTATGCCCAAATCCCAAGAGGAGAATGGAGGAGAAGGGATTGCAGCATGCCCATCCCCACTAGGGGGTGATTTCTTGCTTTCTGTCTCTCTGGCAAGCACACACACCCTATAGCAAAAACCTCTCTCTTGAGAAAAAAGAAAAAGGCAACATTGTTCAAAAACCATATTTAAAATCTTGCCCTGCAATTACCTATAAAGTCACTAAACTATACAAAAATCTCTAATGACACTATATCATTTTACCACATTATCCAGATCGTACATTCACTTCAGTCATGGATATAAGTGATTTGGGGGCATTTCTGAAAATTATCCTATCTGTAAAGGATAGTGTGACCATGAAGGATACTGGAAAGATAGCACTGTAAACCTCGAGGAATCTGCAAAAGAGGATTCCAAGGATACTTTTAAGCAAAAGTATCCTTGACTTTCAGGGTGATCATTTGACAAAGAATGGGCAAAGGAAATCCACTAAACATTGAATCAGTTTTCTGAGAGGCAGCTAATCATAGTGTGTAAGTGTACGAAACTGGAACCCAGACTGCTTTGGGTTGAATGATGGCTCTCCAACATGCACATTCACACATTTTGGCCTCTTCTACTTGAACCATCTTGATTCCTGATGGACAGAAACTAAATGAATCAGATCTAGAAATCTGATTTTAATAAAATGCCAAGGATATGTCTTTTACTTTACTTCTCACATCAATGCTGCTTGCCAAATATGTCCTCCTTTCTGCTTCTGGCCTCATATTAAGATTGCATTTCCTGGGACCAGTAGATGGCACTATGGTTATGTAGCTGGACTCCCACATAGTTCATTGCAGTTCAAGTCTGGCAGCTTAAACTCATGCTGGGTTGGGACCAGCAGATGGCACTATGGTTACGTAGTGGACTCCCACATAGTTCATTGCAGTTCAAGTCTGGCAGCTTAAACTCATGCTGGGTGTATGTGCGTGCATGCCCAAAGTTTCAAGAGAAGAATAGAGGAGAAGGGATTATTGCTTAGCTATCCCCCTAGGGGGTAATATTTTGCTTTCTGTCTCTGTCTCTCCCTGGTGAGTGCATGCACCCTACAGCAAAAAATCTCTCTTAAAAAAATATTGTTATTTCCTTGCCCACTCGAAAGTTAGACATGACCACATGGCTTGCTTTGGCTAATGCATTTGAGGTGAGAGTGACTCAGGTCACTCCCAGCAAGAGGCTTCAGGAGGCAGTGTGCACCTCATCACATCATTCCTCCCTGTTTGAATGACTGCAGAAGCAGGTTGTCAAGATGAAGTTTACATCTTTGGACCAATAATGGACTGACGAGGAGATTTTTCTTGTTTTAAACCACTGAGATGTTAAGCTTCTTTTTCGTATAGAACAACCTAACTGGTCCTGACTGATGCAACTATTGATCGGCCTGGACCACTGAATTAATCATTAAGGGACTTTAAAGGTCCTTACAAAAAGTGAAGTTGAGAAATCCTGCTGGCACGGAGCTCAATACTCACCTTTTGTGCCCTTCGTTTGTCTGCTCGTTGATTTTGGTGGTAGATCCGGCTGAAGTTGGATACAATCACTGGAACAGGCAGAGCAATGACCAAGACCCCGCTCAGTGAACAGATGGAGCCAAAAATCTTCCCTGCTATGGTTTTTGGTACCATGTCACCATACCTGAGTTAGAGAAAAAGATGCATTCTTTTAAGTTACAGAAAGATAGTTCTACCTTTTTTTAAAAAAAATATTTTTGCTTTTTGTCAAATTGACTTTTGGAACACACCTATTTTTACTTCATGACTGTTAAGATACATGGCTTCAGACGTTACAAAACCAGGAATTATAAATATCAGAATATAAAAATGACCTCTCTGTCTCATAGAAAATGATCCTAACATTTAAAAATCTCTTTGATTGGAAAATATTTTAAGCCAGATGAGGTAATGATAGCTCTTCAATTTGTCCTTTATATAATATGGCATAGTTCTTTACATTTATTTCATAGTCAATATTTCTCCCATGAAATTTATAGTCTAGATAACACACTTTTCCACTTAATTTTTTTTTTCAGCATTGGACTGGTTATGAAAATTAAGTCGAAAAAGTAGTCCATCACATTTGTTTCATTGGTACATTCTCTGAAAAGATAAACTTTTCAAGTTCTCCATTAACCTTCACTTGTGAAACCCAATGACCATTTCTTCATGTTAATCTCAGTCGATCTTTCATTTGTATTTGATTAGTGGACTATGTTCTCCTTGAAACGCTTTTTGTTCTTGGCTTCAATATGAGAAAATTCCCTTAGTTGTCCTCTGATCTCATTTGCTGCCTCTTCTCCATCTTTTTTTTTCTGGCTCCTTTCCCCTTATCTGATTTTTAAATCTGAGAGTACGTTAAGTTTCAGGGCTGAGTCCTCTCCTTCTCTGCACACGAACCATCTTTCTATGTGACTGCATCCAATCCTCTAGCTGAAAATTATCTAACACAGCTGGCTATCTAACATATATGGGCAGCCCCGATATCGCTCCTCCAGTAGTCTGGTCTGATTGTGTGTACCTCAGATGCCTTAATAACCAATTAAAACTTAAATTAGCCAGAAAGGACTTTTATTTCCCCAGCTTCTTCTGCCCCCTCCCCAAATCTGTTTCTCACACAGTCTGCTACTCATAATTAAATGGAACCACAAACCAACCAGTTGCTCATACCAAAACTGAAAGAGTGACCCTACAACCCAAGCTTCCATATCTTATCTTTCAGCTGGTCTTGTCTCTGACCAAGCCAAACTGTATCCTACTAGGGTCCTTTGACGACCTTCACTTTACCACAATAAAACAAAGCCATCATCACTTCTTACCCGAGCTGGATCTAGCTTTTTACCTGAACACTCTTTTCCACATCCTCCTCTCTATGATTTATGGCAACATAGGAGCCAGGGTTGTGATTTTAAGCATGAGGATTAGACAGTTCTACTTTGCTTAAACCTTGAAATGAATTTGAAACTAAAATAGGTACACACTCCTCACCTTTGCTCCCAAGGGCCTATAACATGCAGTTCCTGCTTATATTTCAAAGTTCCTTCTACCAAGCTCAATGGCACTCCAGCCACACTGGTCTTTTTTGCATTCTAGGCTTAACTATGTCATAGGATAAGGCAAGCCCAACATACTTGCAGTTATTAGAGAATATTAAGAAAAGTCAGGAGATAAACCAGTTTACTAAAATGCAGCAAATTAACAGTCTAGAAGGATCTATAAAGGAAAAGAGATGATAGCTCTATAGATGTGGTTTAATGTTATAAGGTTATGTGAATTTGTATCAAATAAAACCATAACCACACATTATTCACCTCCAACCTATTTGTTTTGTAATCCACAGAAGTGTGCAGGTCCCCAGGTCATTCATTTATTTTTAATAGTTCTTCATCCCAAACTTATTTTCCAGCTATTTTAAACACAGTAGCCTTATTCTTTCCTTGACTCATTTTCTGAAACATTATCTCCACACGATTACCTTTATAGTACCTATAAACACATTATATTTTGTTGTTTATTCATTTATTTTTTGACTCCTCATCTACCCTACTGACATTAGAATATAAACTTGATAAAGCAGGACTGTTCTACTTTGTATCTCACCAGCATAAAGCTGGCTCTGGACCACACATCAGTTGAATGAATGTAACTCATCCTCTTTACTCATACGGAGTTCATGTAAGGGTTCCTTCCTGGAGAAGAGGTCAAGAAGGAATTTCTTTTTATCACACTACAGCAGAAGTTACCCAACTGTGTTTATAGAGCTCCAACAACTTTATGATCACTTTGGGGCTCTGGGGTGCTAGGAGTTCTGAGAATGCTCCCCAACAACAGGTCTCAGAGGAACTGATGTGGTAGAATTCAGATGCCAGGGGCTTAGAAGAACTTGAAGTACATCATATCTTAGGGGGTGGCCTAGAAAACAATGACTCCAATTAATATTTTTTTGTTGGGGGGTAAAGTACTTACGTGTCAATATGGAAATGAAACTTGTGGAAGAACTGGCCAGGGAAAGGTTGGTGAGAGTAACTGAAGGGCATACAGACTAGCCTGAAATATGTTGACCTCATTTGAGGCTTGGGCCCTTTGCTTAGAAAACCCAGGTCGTCATTCTTGTTGGTGTTTGTGGTAGATCAACAGCTGAACTAATTTGCTATAACAAAAAATTCTACAATGTTTTGGCACCAGAATGACAATATTACTTTATAGAAAAAAAAATGGTAATACCACAAGAATAAGAATGCTATGTCTATATCAAAACAGGTCTCTTTCTGTAGTCTAACTAGGAACCTAAATCATAATAAGATTATGTTAGTAAAGAAATACTTAATGCTAAAAAAAATCTTAGAAGATGTGTAAAAAAAGGCTTGAGGATCTTCTCAGTACAAAGACTGTCAGTGAGTCTGGAAGGTCAAACCCTTTTATACATTTCTGTGTGCACATTAGCTAATTTCTATGTCTGCAACAGCATACATTGAGTATCCAGCTATGTTTATCTTTTTGCATTGATTATGTAGTCACCACAGAAAAGGCTAATACAAACACACACACACATATACACATGCACACAGTTGTGATTTTTTTTTTTTAATAAAAAGGATTGGATTTTAATGCCTACCAGGGTCTAGAAACTGTTTCTTAAAAAGAATGTTAAATAACTCAGTTATCTGTTATAGTCAGAAAAGACAAGCATCAAGTCCCTGTAATGAATAAAAGCTTTAAAAACTATAAATACATAAAACAAAGTAGCTAAATGAATCTATGGTACAGTTTCTCCTGCCCCTATCTAAGATGTTTTTTAAATGTCTAAATGGTTTCTTCACAACTGAGCACGCATGAGCATTTGAGATGATGACTGGCCAGTACGGCAGCTATAAGGTGGTCAAGGAAGGGGGAATGGTGTTCATTGGTGGATAGCTCTTCTCTGACCTTTCTACTTTTGGGAAGAGAGACAACAGTTCTAGATATTGAAGAAGTTGCCCAAGGGCCTGCTGTTGTGAGATAAGGTAGAAGGAGATGGTGAAAGACTACAGGGAAGCAGAACTGGGGGTGCTGGGATAGCTTAGGTTGTCATGTAAGTATTCACGTACCAAACAGACTAAGCCTTGGGCTGCCTCCTAGGGAGCACCAGCTGTCTCCCTCCACACACCCCTTGGTACTGTATATATTACCCTTTCTAATCTCCTTGCTCCCTTTTAAGGTTGGGCTGCTGTTGGGAGTTGTAATATTTCCGGCATATTTCACAAGTTTGAAGACATTGGAGAATAATGAAAAATACACAGTATGATTCATTATCTTTTCTTCCATTATCCATTTTGTCTCTCTCCTCATTTAGAAATGACCTAGAGAAATGGGAGGGAGTAATTTTTATCTGTGAACTTGTAATTGGGCACAGAATTTGCTGAAAAGGGAAAACATCTCTCTGACAAAACCGGCTGCTCTCTTTTGTTTAAAAAAGTATCTTTTAACATGTATTCAAACTAATAGCAAAAAGCAAAGGAACATTATCCACCACAACCAGGAAATATCTTTCTCTGAAACTCTGGAGGAGATTCTTAGAATAGAAAGCTCCATAAGGAAAACTGACACTTATGGTGGTAAAACGATCATGTGAAGTTTAAATGTTCTTTAATAACTGCCATCTTTTAGTGATTAGTTCTATCCTAAGCTACTTGGTTACTTGATGGTACTTTATTCTTTATGCTCAATATACAATAACTCATTTTTTCCCCTGACTCCTCATTCTTCAATTTATGCTAAGCCCCATGGTATTACATGTTACACTCTATTTTTTTCCTTTCCTTTCTTTTTTTTTCCTTAATATTATATCTCTAGTCTTCGAATAGCTATTTCCTCAAAGAAGTTACACTAAAATATTGTGTGGATGTGGCGTTTATTGTCATCTAGACATTTTTCTTCCTATACTTGATAAAGTTGATTAAGAGACTACGAGAAGCCCCTAAAGCCCATTGAGATAAGAACAGACTTATTTATTTATTTTTCTTTATTTTGGAGAGGATTTTTGCTACAGGACGCATGCACTCGCCAGAAAGACAGAGAGAGACAGAGATACAGAAAGCAAGAAATCACCCTCCACGGGGGATGGCCACGCTGCAATCCCTTCTTCTCTATTCTCCTCTTGGGATCTTGGGCACACACGCACACGCGCCCGGTGTGAATTTAAGCCATCGGGTCCGGGACTTGAACCGTGGTCGATTACATGCGAGTCCAGAGATATAGCCATTATGCTAACTGCTGGTCCCAAGAACAGACTTATTAAAAGCAAAAACAAAACAAAGAAAACAGGAGAGAAGATACCCTAATCTAAGAGTGTAACTATCAAAAGTTTTAGGTAATGGGGCGATTGCAAGGGAGTTTCCTGATTCTCGTCCTTTCGTTTGTCGCTCCAAATTGTTGCAGAGCCTCTTATTTTTCCTTCTGCCCTTTCTCCACCCTGAACATCTGCCAGGCTGTGAGTTTATCACTCCCTTTCTTCCTGACATCAGTTAAAAGGAAGGCATACTTTGCATAAAAATGTTAATTCTAAATGTGCACACACTGCCCAAAAATACTTGGTTAAAAATGACATATTTTGCCATATGTTAACGATCAGATTAGGCGGAGACCAATTCCTTAAAAGAGATT